ATATATATATATATATATATATATATTAAGAATATAGATAATGTTTTAATAATTTTGGGTCAAGTAGTTATATAGAATTACCATTCGTGCGTCTTAAATGGTTATCAAATTCAAGTAGGATCTCGTATGATAGCCAAAATGCAAGTTATTTTTTTATTTTTTTATGTTAAAAATGTTATTTTACTATATGTAAAAATTATAAAAACATGAAATACCATTATATATATATATATATATTTGAGGCAAATAAATATTATTATTGTTACAAATATGGTGAAAAGTTATTGCTCAACCATTTGAATTTTTGTGAACTATAAAAGTAAAAAAAATACTTTAACTATGTTATAAGTGTCTTGGGTCTAGCAGCTTGCCAGATTAGCATCTAGATTTGACAACTTTACTAGATCGTGTTGGGGTCTGCAACACCCAAGCATGGGTCTGACAATCATATTAAATTCATGCATAACAAACAAAATGAATAATTATGCACTTTAGTTGTTAGTACTGAGAGAAAATAAAATAAAAAACACAACACAATCGATCACTAACATCAATCCAATAATTATCTAATTATATGCGTCACATTATATGAAATAGAACATAACTACACTTTAAATGTCAGGTGTGTTTCTTTAATAATGTGGGGAACACTAGCCCATAACTTTTAAATTAAAAACTAATAAATATATCATGAAAATACTAAAATATCTTCATATTCATCTTAACTATACAAATATCCGTATACAAATAATAAAATACCCTCAAATGCAAATGCAAGGTATGTGCCTCTTTAGTTTCTGTTATAAATAAGTTGTTCTATAGAAAGTGTCATATGTGACTCTTTAGTTTTTGTTATAAATAAGCTGTTCTCGTGAAAATATTGGAATTTATAAATAATTTTTATACAATGTGTCTTGTATTTATGCGAGAATGAGAAGTCCAATTTAGGGTTATCTAAGATTCTGAGTGGCATGGTTATGTACGAAGTCATCACATCTGACAGACTTTCTTCTTTAACCATGTTGAGCGCAATGTGACATGAACGGAAGATGGTTACATGAATATGCCTTTGGGGGGTTTTTTTTATATAAAACCCGTGTTTTATGATTTTTTCAAAAAAAATTATTATTTAAAAATAATTATTTTATATTTTAAAATTATTTTAGTATGCCAATCTCAAAATTAATTTAAAAAACAAAAATATTTTAAAAATAATTATTATTACATTTATAAATACTATTTTAATATATATAAAGGACCCAGCAAGCTGGATTATATTTTGACTCGGGGTAATCCTCATAGTGTGGCTTGGTTAAGCTGTAGGGTTTGGACAACGGTTTCACCATAGCGTGGCTTGACATAAACTGAGGAAGAGTACACGAAGGTGCCTTTCGTCTTTATTGGACTTGGAGTCTAGATAATTCTTTTGTATTGACTTGGAGTCAACGTCCATGGAAGCAAGTTGAGTTTGTAAGGATCCAGCTAGGCGATATTTATGGAGTAACGTCGCCTACAAGTCTACAATGGTGTACTAAGGAGACTAAAATTAACGTGGCTGGTAATGTTAAGTATAAAACTAAAATGTGTGATTTTTTTTTTACCGTTTATTCATATATTATTATGGATTAAATGTGTAAAATCTTTTTTTTTTCAATTTGGTTTTCAATTTTTTTTTGGTGATGTAGTCCTAATTGTGTAAAATCTTCTCAGTTATATAACATATATGAACTGGAATTAATTTTTTAATTAGAATTAATTTTGATTTTTAAGATAGTTTTTTAAAGTCAAAAATAAATTTATCATGGTTTGTAATATATCTTATAGGTATTTTAAATAAACAATGGGTTAAAAATAGATTTTAGAGTAACAAAATTTTAAATTCTAATTTTTCGGCTGTTGTGATTTTTTTTTTATTCATCTTTTGATTTTTTTTTCAAAAAAATTAGAACATAAAACATGTTAAAAAAAAACTCAATCATTAAGGGCATGCCAATGCAGGGTTGTATGTGGAACTAACAAAATGGGTGAGGTGTCGAAATCCAACATAGCTTGGCATTTGTTTTTATTTTTAAATTATTATTTTTTAAAATTAATGATCTTTTCTCTAATTTTTTTTAATGTTTTTTAGATTATATTTTTAAAATGTGAAAAACACCTTTATTCTATTCAATCAATTTAATTTGTGTTTTTAGTTTTTTTATTATTATTTTAATAAAAAAATCTTAATAAATAAATTTGACAAACACAATTAAGTAAATTATTTATATTTTATAATTAAATATGTTGATGTATATACAACTCTTAATTTTCGAAGCTTTATACCTTAGAAAACGATACCTCAATTTTGTATTTATGAACTATATGTTTTGCTTGGAAACCTCTGGAGGTGGAGCCTGTCTCCGTGAGTCAACAGCTAGTCTTCAGCTTTATCCATGCATGTTATTAATTAAAGCATATCATTATCTTCCATCATATGTGGATAGAATGCACTCTGACTTTTCAAAGTTGGCTTATTCAACAATGCGAAGTATTTGATACGTTCACTAATTATCTTGGGCTCGTGAGGACTTAATTTCAAGAATAGTTCCCTTTGAATGCTGCTAAAAATCATGGTGGCTATAAATAAGAGCGGTGGATAGGAGGAGAGCATAACCATGTTAGTCACATATATTTCCAAGATGAAGGCCTTTCTTATCGTATGCATTCTCTTAGCCACCATTGTCTTCACTCCCCTATCCACTTGCAGTGCTCGAGAATTGGCCGAGCAAGGTGAGATTTTATTGCCAACCTTAACTTAAGAAAAACAGTTCATTTTGTGCGCCAGTGCGTGTAGTCTCCTTGTGTATTGCAGCATTAATTAACTTAAGATAAGCATTTCATGTTATATATTATTCAATTAATCTGTCGTGGGCTATATATATATATATAATGATTCTGCTATAGTATCAGATTATGTCAACATGAATTTGCTATAACATGCGTGAATCTTGCAGACGCGAGTGGATCAAACAACCCCTATAAACCAGTGTTCGGTTGCGGAAGGGGTAAGCGATATTGCGTACCTAACCCACCACCATGCATAACTCCTTACAAGCGTAATTGTTAGAAGCAAGCAAAGTTGAGTGCTTAAAAGTATGGAGCTTCTGCTGTCTTTGTCAATATGTAAAATGATGAGAACTATTTATGTGAGAAAAATAAATAAAGTTCTCTAGTGGATTAGAAGAAGCAAGCAAAGTGGTGTGCTTAAAAAGTATGGACGGCTCATATTGTCTTTATCAATATGTATAATGTTATTTTGATATGGGAAATATTTATGTGAGAAAAATAAATTCAGTTCTTAGTGAGTTTCATGGTATCTTTTGAGGTTTTAATTTCGGTCATTATACAGTCCTCCTATTTGTAATCTCCCATGAGAATTATTAATGAAGTTCAATTATGCCAAAACAAAATGATTAATTACTTGTTTTTCCTCAAATATCAAGTTGAAATCACATATATATAAGGTCTTACCAGAGAGAGCATAACTTTAGCTGCATATGCTGTAACTCAGGCCTTAGTCTAACTACTTGGGAGAAAAATAAGGAATAAACAGCCTTGTTAATGGAGCAACAACACAAATCCAATCGAAATCAAAATCTAAGTGGTTCAAATTGAAATATATTTGTGATTACTATATAGATCTTCATTTATATCTTAGAATGAAAAATTCAGATTTCTGATCCAACCTGCAATAAATTAAAACAAGTATCATAGGATATCTTTTCAAATAGACTGTTTTTCCTTAAATATCAAGTTGTTCCTGATATTTTATATAGTCTAAAAAATGTTAAACATAACTCCCTCTCCAAACAAATATTTCAAACTTGCAATAATTTCCATGTAGAAGACTTAGTTATTGATGTTAAAGGTCGTCAAGGGTATATAACATCACCTAGTTCAAAACTTTTCAAGCTATAATTTTATTTTAAAATTTCCAGATTATTGGGCAATACATGAAGATGTGAGAAATGGTTTTAGAATGATGCTTACATAAAGGGTAATAATTATCTTGATTGCTCAGGATATATATATCTCTTAACTAGGAAGACTCTTATTCAAAGGACTTTATTTATAATCTAAAACCAACCCTAAAATTATTTATGTTTTTGGAGGATAAATAAATTTCCAGACATTTGGACATAAGTTTTAGTTCCAGCAAATCTAATCCCTTTAAGAGTATACAAAAGTTTATAATATAGCTACTTTTCTTTTCTCATTCTCAAACCAACCTTTTTTTTCTCGATCGATGAATAACTGCAAAGATTAAGATTAGATATTAACCTTTGAAATATTAGATTCTTTTTAGTTATAGAGAGTCTTATCCATTTCAGATTCTAATACTAATTATCCATTATCCAGTATCCTATCTGGCTATCAAGCCCTGCTTTAGAGGAAGACAAGTGGAAGAGAATAGGATAACTTACAGAAGTCAATCAATCAAGAATCAACCAAGTATATGATCAAAAATTTACCCAGTTACCATTACTCATTTTAAGTTTACAGCCAGCACAAATAAGAATGTCATTATGATCCTTACCAATACCATATTATCTTAACTTCAAAGTTGAAGTTTCTACATGAAACTTTAAAGCTTCAGTTTCTCTTTTATTTGCAAAAACCATGTTCGCACTATTATTTTCTATTTGTCTATACTGTTTCTGTTTCGTTGCCTAGAAAAAACGGGACATGTTAAAAAAAATGGAAGCATGGTAAACTGCACAGCTCTTGTTTGAGTGGGCTTTTTTCCCTTTAATTTTGTCATAAGACATGGAAAAAAAATAATTTCATAATTTATACAGAATCTCTATATTATTTTTTATTTTATTTTCAATTAATGCAATACTCAGTTAAACATGCCTCTTCCAGGCGCTGCAGAAAATAGTTTCAAATGAAATCCTATTATTTCAGGTCGAGGGCCATTTATAAGAACTAATTTAAGGCTTTCAAAGCCCGACATTGAAGAGCATGGAAGAACTCCGGTTTGTTGAGAATGTTAAATAAATTCAAAAAGATTTGTGTCAGACTAGTTAATTAGTATTTTTATTTTACTAGTTAATTAGAATTTTCATTAGATTTTACTAATTAGAAGTGTAATTTCTCTATAAATATAAAAGTCTATGTATTCAAGAATTTTAAGAGTATTAAATATAGAAATAAGAGAATGGAAGTTCAAAATGTTGAAATTAAACTAGATTTTAAATTTTTAAAAAATCAAAAATATTCAATGGATTTAGTTGATAAATACAATTTTTATTTAGATTATAATTTTCTTGTATTAGTTTAATTTCTTAATTATTTTAAAATTAAATATTATAATGTGCATCCCTCAATTTGTCAAGTTTTATCCTTTCTGAAGTTTTAAACATATGAAATTTTTCATGTTTTACACGTGTAGATGCAATTGCATTCATATATTTCGAAGTTATAATTAACTCTATTTTTTAAGGTAGATTCAATGTAAGGATTACGGACACCACCTATCTCCACATTGGTATGATATTGTCCATTTTAGGCCTAAGCCCTCATGGATTTGCTCTTGGGTTATACCCAAAAGGCCTCATACCAATGGAGATATTTGTCCATCCTTATATACCCTTGATCCTCCCCATTTCTAACCAATGTGGGACTTTGGTCGCATACCCAACAGGACAAATATCTCCATTGATATGAGGCCTTTTGGGTATAACCCAAGAGCAAATCCATGAGGGCTTAGGCCTAAAGTGGACAATATCATACCAATGTGAAGATAGGTGGTGTCCGTAATCTTTACATTCAATACGAGGTGGTAAGTTTTGATAATCATGTGTGCCTTTTCGTATAACGTTGTGGCTAATTAATTGAGGAGGTGAAGGAATTAAAGCACATAACAGTAGTAATCATACTTTTTACAGTATCCCAACATGTTGCAAGGACTGTTTATTTTCATGTTTTAAAAATATTTTTTAAAAATTTTAAAATTTTAATTTTTTTTATTAATTTTAAATTAATATATTTTTAGTGTTTTTAAATTATTTTAATATATTAATATTAAAAATATTTTTAAAAAATAAATAAATATCATTAACATATATTTTAATATAAAAAATTATTTCAAAAATAAAAACAATCACACTTTCAAACATAATCTCACAATCTCACACGCTTAGAGACCTCAGCTAGTCTTCGGCCTTTTATATTAATTCAGGGTATCGTCTTCCACGCATTTTTAAGCTTAAGGACCACGATCAAATTTCAGTCACAATACCTTGGAAAATGATACCTAATTTTGTACTTATTAACTATGTTTTGCTTGGAAACCTCTGGAGGTGGAGCCTGTCACCGTGAGTCAACAGCTAGTCTTCAGCTTTAGTAACGCTGGGTATCTTCTTCCATGCTTCGAGCATATGTGGAAAGAAAGCACTCTTACTTTTCAACGTTGGCTTATTCAATAATGCGAAGTACTTGATACGTTCGTTAATTATCCTGGGCACGTGTGGAATTAATTTCAAGAATAGTTCCCTTCGAATGCTGCTAGAAATCATGGTGGCTATAAATAAGAGCGGTGGATAGGAGGAGAGCATAAGCATGTTAGTCACATATATTTCCAAGATGAAGGCCTTTCTCATCGCATGCTTTCTCATAGCTACCGTTGTCTTCTCTCCCCTATCCACTTGCAGTGCTCGAGAATTGGCCGAGCGAGGTGAGATTTTATTTCCAACATTAACTTAAGGAAAGCAGTTCATTTTATTTTATTTGTGTGTGTGTAATCTCTGTGTATTGCAAACAATTTTTTGTCATGAAACTGATGATTCAACCTTTACTTTTACTCCCAGCATTAATTAAGTTAAGATAATCATTAATTTCATGTTTTGTATGTATATATTATTTAATTAATCTGTCGTGGGCTAGATCTTATAAAAAAACAAGGATGTTTCTGCTATAATATCAGATTATGTCAACATTAATCTGCTATAACATGCGTGAATCTTGCAGGCGGATCATCCGGAGGAGCTCTCAACCCCCATAAACCAGTGTTCGGTTGCGGAAGGGGTATGCGATATTGCGTACCTAAACCGCCACCATGCAAGAATCGTTACAAGCGTAATTGTTAGAAGCAAGCAAAGTTGAGTGTTAAAAGTATGGAGAGCTTCTGCTGTCTTAAAATGGTGAGAACTATTTACGTGAGAAAAATAAATAAAGTTCTCCAGTGGATTAGAAGAAGCAAACAAAGTTGTGTGGTTAGAAAGTATGGACGGCTCATAGTGTCTTTATCAATATGTAAAATGTTATTTTGATATGGGAACTATTTATGTGAGAAAAATAAATGAAGTTCTTAGTGAGTTTCATGGTATCTTTTGAGGTTTTAATTTCGGTCATTATGCAGTTCTCTGTTGGAAAATTAAAGCCTCTTTAATCTGTCAAAACCATGTTCAAATTATTATTTTCTATTTGTCTGCACTGTTTCTGTTTGGTTACCTAGAAAAACTGGGACAGGTTAAAAACATTTGAAGTATGGTAAATTGCACAGCCCTTGCTTGAGTGGGGTTTTTTCCTTTAATTTTGTCAAATGACATGGGAAAGAAAGTGATTTCATAATTGATAAAGAATCTCTCCATTATTTTATTTTTTTCAATTATGCAATACTCGGGTGAACATGTCTCTTGGGGCTGTAGAAAATAGTTTCAAACGAACTCGCATTTGTAAGAGGCTTTCAAAGAATTCGCATTAATAAGAACCCGATTCAAGGCTTTCAAAGCCTGTTATTGAAGAGGATGAAAGAACTCGCATTTGTAATGAATGTTAGATAAAATTCAGAAAGAATTCGTGCAGTTGGGATTAGCCCATTCTGCGTACATTTTTAGCTCACGGACTTGCGTCTATATATTGTTTTGCATTTGCAGGTTTCAAAAACTGCAGCAGAAAATAGAGATTGTTATGTGATACAGGAAAAGTTAGGTTAAATATATCTTGTCATTGTATCTTTTGTCCTCTCGTGCATTATATGAACACATTACATAAACAAATCATGTACATGTTATCCAGTCATAAAGCACATGATCAACGGCTTCCATTAGTTTTCTTATTTTTATTTTTCTATATAATATTAATAGGATTCTTTAGTTTTTTTTTTATATATAAAAAAGATTATAATAGTCTTTTAACCGTTAAATATTTTGAATGTCTTTTTGTAATCATGATATTCTTATTTTTTAAAATTTTAACTTATAATAAACTCAGTTATATTAATTGGTATCAAAATTTAATAATTTTTCAAGCTTAGCTATAATCTGTCATTATTTAAAAATCTAGTGGTGAAATTTATAATGATCTGGCATGCATAATAGTGTTAAAGATATCTTATAATAGGATAAGTCTCATGTTAAAAAAAATTATTAGTTTTTCAATTGAAAAGGTTTTGTTTAAAAAATATTATGTTGGATATTTTTATGGTAAAAAAAGGTTTTTAACTAAGAAAGTTCTATCTCATAAAAAATTTGAATTCAATGACCATTTCCTTCTAATTTAGGGAGAGTGATGTATAAGTTTTTTGGAAAAATAAATATCTTCTTTAATTATTTTTTTCTTATTAAGTTTAGGAATTTTGTTTTTTATTTTTATTTTTATATCCAGGAGTATTATGCTTTTATAGTTTTTCTATTTGAAGAAAGTAATTTTTTTTTATTCAGTGTTAATAGAGTTTTTTAGTTTTTTTTTTTTATATAAAGGGTTGTGATAGCTTTTTAGCAAGCAAAACTTAGATGAATAAAAATTAAATATTTTGGATGTTTTTTCATAGTTATAGTTTTCTTAGTTTTTGATAGTTTTAACTTATAATAAACTTTATTATTTTTTGCTCTTAACTGCATCAAATGATATTAAATTTCAATAATTAATAGAGGTCAGCTATTATATTTTATTATTTAAAATTTTTATAGGTTAATATCCATACATGTATTAGGAATTCGCGATAAGATAATCCATTTTTATAGGTTAATATCCATACATGTATTCCTAATGTATTAGGAATTCGCGATAAGATAACCCGTAAAAAAAGCATAAGAGATCCATGACATTCCATAAAAAAATATTAAGGATACGGGATATGGTGGTTTATAAGAAAAGTATTAGAGATTTAGTCCACTAATAAAAAAATAATTAGTTCTTTTAATGAGGAAGGTTTGCTTGAAAAATATATTATATGTTTCTACCGTGGATGGTAGTTTCTAACTAAATAAGTTATGTCTTATAAACAATTTGAACTAAATAACGAGTTTTTTTTCTAACATAGGGAGGGAGGATGATATAGAAGCTTTTTTAAAAAAAATATATTCTTTAATTATTTTTATTTATTTATTTTAGTCAAGGAATTTTATTTTTAAATGCTTTTCTATTTTTTATATTTAAATAAAATATTCTTTTCTATTATTATTTTCTTATTCAATATTAATATGGTTTCTCATATAAAAAAAAATATTTTAGATATTCCCCTATAATTATAGTGTTTTTGGCCTTTGGGAGTATTTATTTATATCAAACTTTATTATCATTTACTTTTTGCTATACATCAATTGATATCAAAACTTAATAATTTCAAGAAGTTATTTATTGTGAGTTGTTATTTAAAATTCTAGTAGAGAATATATAAAAGTGTTAGAAATATATGATCAAAACCGTAAAAAATATTAAATATCCATAATGGATCAACCTATCATTAGTTTTCTGACCAAAGGAAACCATTGAACTCGAGAACGAGTTCTAGAAAGATTGATAGAGAGGTTTTTGGAAAAAATAATTATTCTATTTAATTATTTTTATTTTTTTCTTTTTAGTTTAGTAAATTTATTTTTTATTTTATTTTCCTATTAAATAATAATATGCCTTTCTAGTTTTCTTATTTGAATGAAATAATTTTTTTAATTTCATATTAATAGAGTTTTCTAGTTTTTTTTCTGAATAAAGAGTTGTAATATTTTTTGGCTAGTTAGACTTACATTAATAAAAATTAAATATTAATTATTTAATCTTATAATTTTTCTATGTAATTTTATAATTATATTTCAATTAATAAAAACTAATATTTAAAAATTGCATCAATATGAAATGAAACCATCAAACATGGAATAATGTGGTTTTTTAATTAATATTATGAATTCGTTTACTAAAATTACAAATCCTTTGAATATAGATTGCTAGATCACCATTTCAATACCAATTATTGCCTTCTTCCCATTTTTATCCATTCTAATGAGATTTTCATGTGATATAAAAAATTAAGTGTATTTTAGGTGTTTTATTTATCAAATATATTCATAAAATTATTTGAAATTAAAAGTAAAATCACACGTGATATTAAATATTAAAAAAATACATATTAAAATTTTTATAGTTATTTTTTATTTAATTCACCTAAATCTTTGAAATTAATTAAAATATTAAAACTAATTTTATAAGCTTACCCGTAGCAACAACACGTATCTTCTCCATCGAACGACGGGGAAGGAGTGTAAGATACACCTCGATGTACCACAGCATTGTCTCTCTCCGTGTCCAATAATTAGTTAAATGAAAAAAAAAAAAAAAAAGGCGGCTCATTTCGTAGAAACCGAAAATCGAAAAACAGATCCAAAATTCTATTCGCTCCAGCTTCTGCCTTCTTCTGCTAGTTATTCGCTCGTGTGTCACTAAACCAAGTCTCACTTCCAAAACCATCTCTCTCTTCGTTTCCTGTTTGGTTCCTGAGAAAATTCAGGTAAGTAAAAAGAAGACAACAATTACTCGATATCTCTCCTTTTTGGTCTATTTTTCCTTCCGTTTTAAGTCACCTCGCAAACTTCTTTTAAAGATGATTAATTTGCATTTGTTGTTTTGTGGCTTGTTTTGCATGAGTTATTTTATTAATTAGAGTGTTGTTGTTGTTTTTTTCTCTAAGAGATTAGAAATTTGCTGATTGGTAATTACTAGTAAGTTTTTTTAAGCGCCTAATTTTATTTGCTTTAGTTGCTTTAATCAAGAATCCTTTTTTTGATATGTGAATTTAGATTATCATTGTTGTTATTAGTTAGATTAGTTGGGATGAGCTATTTTTGGTGGTTTTAATCTTTTTTTCTCTTCCTAATCTTCTGGTTTTGATGATTATTTTATAGATGAAATTGTTATTTTATGCAGTGTAAATACAATATGATAGTTATTAACATAAGCATTTGATATGAAAAGGTGCTTCTATGAACACTCAATTAGGGTTTTATTCTTTCTTTTTTTGGAAGTTAGAAACTTAAAAGGCAGATTTTTTTCTTTTTTTTAAGGTGGTAAATATTGGTTTTCTTTTTAAGTAACTAGGGTTTGTCATATGCAGGGTAGTTGAGGAGGCTTGGTTAGTGGACTTGCTAGAAGTGAAGCTTCTTTTAAATTTGAGCATGGAAACAGATGATATGATTGGCCTCCCTGGTTCTATTGATTTTGGATATAAAAATGAGAATGATGAGCTTTCCAAGTCTGATTTTGGGCCAAGTGAATCTCGCTCTCAAACATGTAGTAATGATGGTAAAGAAAGTAAGGATGATGAGGAGGGTTTGGGGCTCTATGAAGGTGTGGTTGGAAATGAAGAAGGTATAGTCGATCCAGGGTGTTCAGGGCTTAATGTAGGTGATACTGGAACTGAAGAAGCTGCAACAGATCAGAGTAATTTGGTGCTTGAGGAACGTGATATTGGATCTAAAGGTGTCCAGTTTGCAGTGGAAACAAAGGCTGACATGGATTTGGCTGTTTCTTCTGTCAGACAAGTGAATTTTGATGTGGTTGATGCTGTTATAGTTTCCAAGAAGCCGGATATTTCCAGCATCATAGGGAACGTTGAGGACTGTTTCCTTGATACACAAAATAATAGTCTTGTCCATCAAGGCAAGGTGGATGGCAGCCGTATCCTTTCTTAACCTCTGATAACTTAATCATTTATTGTAAATTGTCCTACTCAACTCTAGATGAACCCATTAGATTTAGATCATAATTCCAAAAAAGCTTCTTATTCAGAAATAAATGCATCAAACAACCTTAACAAGTCAATCTCAATTGGAGGAATGCTATATCCATGATAATCACCTTTTTAGTTGCAGTTTATTCTGATTTCCTCCCCTTTCTGTCATGTATTCCCTCAATCCAATATGCCAGATATATCAGGCGTTAAGAGAAAAAGGATGGCATATGATGAACAGCAACCTTTAGTGCATGTCATGTATAACTCCTTAACAAGGTCAGGGTGGAAGTGTTCATAATAACTTGGCAATCCAAGAATTTTTAACTGTATGTTTTGATTTCTTGTTGGATTGCTGTGACTGTTATTATTCTGTAATTATT